CGTTCTTTCCATGGGACTGTTCACAGAGATTGTTTCTGTGAAGGCACGACAGACTTCTCGGTGCAGGAGACCTGTTGCCAGGTTGGCCAGGGTTATAACCTGAGCATGCTGGTTATTCTTCGTGAAGACTATCACGTGAACATTTTTCTTTTGTACTTGGAGTGCCTTTTTGCTGGTTTTGCATAATTTGCTTCCAGAGTGGATTAAACTGAACTGCACAAAGGCATTCTTGGTGTGGATTATTCTTTGCACAGAGACTTAAAGCTCAGTGGTCCTTCTGGGCTGGTTCGCTGAAGGGACGAGTACTCGGGGAAGTTGAACTGATTTAACTAAAGCAATAGAGTTAATGAGTATTTTGTCCTCTGTGGATCTGCTCTTGCAGAGGGAAGATGATCTTTATACTGCAATCATAAGGTCATTTCACTTCTGCACAACGTTGTCCTCGTGGCGGATTAATACCCTTGCATACGTGTATAAAATACATTCTTACTGTTAGGCTTGCCTTTGTGGTCTAGCTGCTCTGCTGTTTTGGAAAACTTTTATAAGTGTCAGCAAATCATAGCTCTTTGCAAGATAAGGACCTTTGTTTGTGCCATTCATGGTAGATATTAGGCTCAGAAAAATGGGCTGATTGGCTACTAGTGCTTGTATAAAGAAGAATATATATTTGTAACAGAAATGACATGTTTGAAAATTGGCCTTAGTTGATCTAAAGGAAAAGTGAAATGAAGAAGAAGAAAAAGATTTGGGGCTTTTGAGTTGGGCGAAGTAAAATGGCATCCTTCAGCTTTTTTCACACAATCGGAAGTAAATTTTTGTCCCTGCAAACTGAAGTATGAGACAAGTTTTTTCATTTATCAATAGCACTGAGAAATATTAGCCCGGGGAGTGATTACCTGCTCAAATAAGACAAGTTCAGTGAAACACTCTGAGTAGACTAGAGCTTTGGAATTTTTTTTTTTTTTTTTTAAATACAGTGTTTACCCTTACTAATTAATATGAGAGAGAAGATTTATGTTTTGTGCATGTTTTTATATGTTAACAAGGCATTGGATGTTTTTGATTATACACTTTGGAATAATGCCCTGTGACTTTCCAAATCCATCAGATATTTCGGTAAATAGGTTTGTTTAATTCTTCTGAGCAGTCCCTTGTATTCTGAATTAATGTTTTAAAATAGATTAATTAAATTGCATTAAACTTGTGTGTGGAAAAACTAATCTGGAGTTCAGGTGAATTTAATTTAGTTGTTTACAAATATTAATTTACTTAATTAAACAAAGGCTACTTTAATTCTGTGTTAAGTGTATCGATTCTGAGTAAGAGTATTGGCAGAGACATTTAATGCACTTTATCTAACCTGCTTTAAATTTACACCTTTAGTTGTTTCTGATTAGTTTTTCTGAGGGTTCCAGTACTAGAGCTACCTCCTAGCAAGTGGTTGTAGGAACACTCTAGGCTTTTTGCTCCCCTTTTTGGCTTTGTTTCTGAATATGAACAGCCAAGAACGGGGAGGAGTGTTTGTCTTGTCTTTCAATTCATAATACATAAATAGGGAAATTATTATTTTTAAATTTTGATGGGTGATGAAATAGACTGTATTTGTTATTAGAAGACTTATTTCTGTTACTCCATATTGATGCTTGTTCTGTCTTGGAATCTTGGGACTGTTTTCTCAAATTTTGAAAAAAATACTTTTTCCTTTTGGAGGTAAGAAGGAACTAGTGCAGGATGTTTGCTATGCGTGATTATTTCCATTATTCACTGTGATTGAAACGTGAGACGATTTCTAATTTGTGCTGTTCTATGGAACAGGAATGGGCTTCTGGTGGGTTTATTAGGTGAGGATTACCAAGGTAGTGCCTGGCCTGGGGTGGGGAAAGGGTGGACAGTAAAAGAGCTGATCTGGGAACTGGCTGCACGATGCAAGAGGTCTGACGGGTTTAGAAACATTTGAGGTAACTGAGATTGAAGGCACCCAGGGCTGAAGTGGGAATGGAGGTGGGAGGAAATCCCTCCGATACGCACCGTAACCTGGTTTTCAGTTTTTGCGTTGAGTAGGAGTTGAAGCAGCCTCTTCCAGCCCCCCAAAAACACCCTCCGGGAGAAGTGATAAGCGCAGTGTAGATCCACCTAAATAGCTCAGCTGGAGTGAGTTTGAGTTTGGCTGGCCAAGGCCTCCTGTAGTGTATGTGTTAATAAGATATTTTCCATTGTCTGGTACAAGCTCTCTTCCCATACCCCTCCCCCAGATAATGCCAAATTGGCTATAAAATATTGCTCTGTTGATCCAACTTCCACATGCTGGTTGTGGGAGAAAAAAGTGGGCATATTTCATGTCCCTGTTGTAGTTTATCCTTGACTTCCTGGCTTTCTGTTAATATTTCTTATAGCTTAATATTTGTTCCAGGTAGTACTTCAGCATTGGCTTCTTAATGCCAATGTACATATACTTAATTTAGAATTAATGGGGACTAGGGTTTCAGCCAGAGGAAAAAAAGGAGACCAAAAAAAAGAAGGCTGGGAACATATAGCAGATTTCAAGAAAAAAGTGTTTTATGTGGGGAAATGCTGGTAAATACTTCACTGAGTAAAATATGTGGAAACTATATTGGCAGAGTTATTCTGAATTTGTTGACTGAGGCTTTTTAAAGCTGATAAACTAATCTAACTCTAATCCTGTTAAGTTTTATCCGGCTTTTACCCTTGGTTCTGAAAGCAAGGTTAGACCACTGCTAAAATTTTCTGTTATAAACTGAAATTCTGAATTTGGAAGAGGGGCATTTTATTCAAGTTGTGATAGCTGCTGTGGTTGCAGTACCCAATGTAGCTTACTTGGACATCGCTTTCCTAATCCACGCATCTAGAGTTAACAACAAATTTATTTGTTTTCCCCTTATGTTTTGATACAGGAGCTCACCGCATCTGGTGACAGCAGAAGTATATTTTGTTCTGCCTGTTGAGAAGGCAAAAATGTGTTCCATCAGGGTGTTGGCTAATTGCCTATGAGCTGTGTCTGACTTACTGAAATCGTAATAAAATTTGTTTAAATGGAAATAAATACTAATGTTACAAAGACACGTTGCTGTGTATGTGTAGTAGCTGTTCTGCGGATCATAGTTTGGTTGTTATGGCCTTGTTTAAAGACTTTGTGACAGAATCTTTTGGTGTTACTTTTCTGATGTGAGGCTGAATACTTCCAGACTATGACCTGTGAGAGGTGGGGAGCAGACGTCAGAAGTGTGAAATTGGTTTTTGTTTGTGTTGAAGGAAGGTTCAGCACAACCTTGGAAGGCAAAACATGTGCATTACATGAAGTACTAAAGTGCATTTAAACAAAAGCATTGCAAAACCTTTGGACTGTCTTATAAAATATTGATGTATTTGTAGCTGTAACTGGTTTAAATGCAACACGTGACGTATCAGTGAAATCTTGAACCGTGTAAATAGACAAAGTTTTAAAAGTTGGGTTTTGTTCTAGTTTGTCCTTTTTTAGTGTTCGGACTGGCGGATGTCTTCCTTCAAGTTGAGGGCAGGGTTCTTAATATTACTAGCAGTATGTAACATTATGAAACAGTGACTGTAGCACAGCTGTTTTATTATGTTAAGCCTGGCTGGTTACCAGGATTTCTCAGAAATGGCAAATAAAATTTGCCAAAATGGCATCCATACGCACTAATGTATTGCCAGGTTTTTTTGGGCGTGCTGCCACAGTCTGTGTTGTCCCAACAGTTTTTCACCGTGATCAGAATTTCAAATGACTCAGTATTGGCAGTGCTGGTATTTTGAGTAAACAATTCTGATATGTGGGGAGTCCTTCTTTTGAGATGGGCTTTCACAGCGCGCAGCGGTTGCTCAGGCCAGTCTCAAAATTCTTCTGTGGGTTGTGTTGCTCTCTCCAAAAATTTGTACTCCACCTGTCTGGCTTAATGGCTTTCTTGTGCTCAAGTGGAAGAGGGAAAGGGGAAAATCTTTATGCATAGTTGGATTTGATTCAGTGTCGGTGTTAAGGGATGAATTACCATTTCCATTGGTAAACCTCGAATTATCTCTCTAGTGTTTTTTGCTTCAGGTTAAAAAGGAAAAAATCGGTTAATCTCTTGGTATTCATTGTCCATCCTTTTGTAAAGTGTGGGAAAGCACACAGATACAAATGGTTCCAGTGATTTTAATTCAATTTTACAGGCTGAAGGTTTTTCTTAAAACACTAATAAATAACCATGAGAGAGAATTCCAAGGGAATAGGGCTGAGAAATATTTTGGCTTTAAAATCAGGACCATATTCTGAAAATAGTTTCATTAGAATTGAGCTGTAGAAAAACAAGGCAAGTTCAATAGTCAAGGAAAAAAAAGTCACGTTTTGCTTCAAGTCTAGTTGTAATTAGCTGCGAGGAAGCTCCCTGTTCTCACTGAATGTTTATGAAGATTTTGGAAGCCTATATGTATTAAATTCATCTATGTAAGCATCTTGTGTGCATATAGATCTGTACAGAATGCAGAAATTGCAAATCTAATGTGGCTTGGGAGCTTCATATGCTTTTGTGACATCAAGACTAAATATTAAAGTCTGATCACTTCCGAGAGCTAAGTAATAATTTGTAGATTAAAACCCTGCGATTTAGGAATGGTCTTGTATGCTCTTAAGACTTCTAAACAAAAAAAATCAACATTTTATTTTGTATTTCATACTGATGAGCTGCTAAATCTTCTCTTTATCCATTGGGAAAATGCAGAAAGGTGGATCAGCGAGGAAAGCTTGAGCTCTTGCCTTAGTCCTAGAAAGATTAGTGGTAGAGGTGATGCAGATACTTCAGTCCTTGGCTCTTTGACGAGGCTACCGAGTAAAGTAGCAGTTGATACCACTGGATGATCACTTGTAGGTTAGTCACTTCTGTTAGGAACAGCATCTCCTTTTATAGAGGAAGACTGAAAAAATGAATGCAGTATTGATACATCAAGTATATCTGTATTAACGCTCTTCTTGCTGCTGTTTTTCAGGATTGCATGACTTGTAAAATTACTTATCTGGGGGCCTGCAGTGGTATTTGACTGGATATTGCGGCCCGGTTCTGAATGATGTCAGAACAGGATTTGGCAGATGTTGTTCAGATTGCTGTTGAAGACTTGACTCCAGATAACCCAGGTACAGTAGAGATGGTAGTGATGGTGTGAGAAAAATCAGTAACAAAGTGGAAATCACTTGAGCTTTTCTTAAAAATATAAAGTGGTGTTGCAGATTTTTTTTCTGAGAGGCGCTTGTTAAGACTACATACCAAGTTTTCAATAGCTTAACTTATATATCTTCAGTACTCTTTACATCATATTATTTTTTTATTTTACTTTTCTTTTAAAGACTTTACTGCCTGGGGCTTTTTATGTGCAGAGGTAGGCTAGTGCTGAAAACTTTGAATGAAATACGGCCTCCTGCAATCTCTTGTTTTTCTCTGGACCAAATATATGGTTTAGGCTTTCCCTCAAATGAGATCTATGACCCATCTATTATGAATTGGTTGTTTTACTTGTGAAATAGTTTCTCACATACATTATTAAAGTTCTTTGTATGTGTAACAAAATGACAGTAAAATTGAAGAACACTTCTTGAAAGCAAATATTGTGCTATCCCTTGCTTAGAACTTGACCTACTAAGCGAAAATGTGTTGAGATCAGCTATAGACATTGATCCTATGCTGCCATTACACGTAAGTGACTGAAAGAACGGTGACTGCAGTTATGGAAAATAGAAGCAGATATCAAAAAACCTTTTTTTTCTGATGCAGAAAGAAAAAGTTACTTCAGAAATGTTCCCAAAGAGTTGGGGGAGAAGCTGGGACCTGCCTGTCCTAGCCTAGCTGGTAGCTTGGTGTTCCGGATTATCACCTGTGGTATGGTCACCCTTAAGCCTTCCTTTGCTCACTTTGGTAAAGGAACTCGAACCTGGTCCAGTCTCAGGTGATGCTCTGACCATGAGGCTGTTCAGGGCTCTACTTCTTGATTTTACCAGCCAGATGTTCCAGTTCTAAATTCAGTTCTCTTTTGTTACCGTTTTCTTCAAAACGTTTACCTTTCGATGAAAGGCTATTAGAAACCATAGGTCTGCATATGTGAGTATGTATTCTGGAAAGCTTGCAGGATTTTGTTCATCTATACTGGGGAAAAATAACCTGCTACTACACTGAGTAGTGGGTGTAATCCTGTCTTTGTACAGAACTTCATTAGTACTTTTTATGCTTTTGTATAAACATGAGGGTTCAGAAGCCTGTAGAATCTGTCAAAGCAGAACAGCTAATGTGGCAACTCTGCTACCTTGTGGCAAGTTCCTAATAAAAAAATCCAAGGTAATGCCCGAATGTTACGTCCTCAGCACATTTGAAATAAAGTCTTAGATTTGGATAAATGCTTTATGAGGAGCGGTAAACCATTATCATACATTTAAGAGGAAACCCAAGTAAGTGTAAAAGAATACATACAATATGTTAACTAAATGCTTTTTATATTTTTTTGTTTTACCCATTTAATGTATTTTTAATTTGAGCCTTGTCCTCTTGTATTATAAACTATGGCAATGCTTATTTGTCTTCACAGTTGTGTTGGAGAATCATGAAGTGACAGATGATGATGTAGAGCCTGCTCTGAAACGTCAGCGTATCGAAATTAACTGCCAGGATCCCTCTATTAAGGTTATGATAATGCCTTTTTCTGGTTTTATTTGTAATACCAATTAAGTTAGCTTTCTGGGGGAATATATTAAAATAAAAGAATGTAAAATAAACTGTTTATACACAGTACTAGAATTATTCATAGCCTTCTTGTAAATGTTCATTTTTGTGCATAAATTTAAAAATCTGGATGGTTGGCTAATCTTCCAGTGTAAAATCAGTAGCAAGAATTTTATATGCGATATAAAATGTCATCAGAATTAATTCCAGGGACTCGAACATCACTATTGGTACAGTTTTTGATCAAGTGAATGAAGTTGACCTAAAAGATAAACTTGAGCATGTATTTGTAATACAATTTGTAGATATGTTCAGCATGTTTTAAATTTTTATTTTAAGCTAACAACATTCTCTGAGTAGTTAAGCCATATTTGGTTCAGGCTCAGTAGTTCAGGCTTCTCTGTACTTACAGAACTTCCCCTGCTATTCTTACTAGCGTGCTTTAGTGTTGGGTTTTGTTTGTTTGTTTGTTTGTCTTGGAGTATAAGTCTATGAGTAGTCTTTTACTGCCACGCATGTGAAATAGTATGTAATTCTGTATTTTTGAAATGGTCGTAGAAACTGCAGCTCTGTATTGAAAGAGCACCGGGGGAGCAGGGCTGTAAAGCAGCTTGACTAGGTGTGTAAATTGTAACAGAGGGCCGCAAGATGGCATAGTTGCTGTTTGCAAAGGAGAATGTGTGTAATGTTACCCTTTAATGGCCTGTTTTTCCCAAGAGAAACCAAGCAGAATATGCTTTCTTTTGAATAAAATTGCTTAGGAAAATTGCTTAGGAAAACAGATTTTATTTATTTGCTTTTCTTGATTTGCTGTTCAGGAGAAAACTTAAGTGAGCGGCATTAATTGTCTCTGGGGTTATTTGTGTTGATATAATTTCCACTGTAATCATCTGAATTTATCTGTTTGGGCAGGAAAAAATCTTATTTAACTTTATCCAGGAGGATGCGTTCATAGATTTATAATCCTTTTGTTTTTACATGTATCAAATGAAAGGCTTTGGCATGTCATTTTAAATGATTTTGTGGTGTATGAAATCATACTAACAAAGTGCTTAGTAGAAAATGTGTTTGGCTCGGATGCTTTTGGCTTCTAAATAAAGGTCTGGAAGAACTGGAGAATGCTAAAATGCTCCTGGATGGCATCGGTTTTGTACGTGGCTGAATTTTGTCACTGGGCACACTGCTAGTTCCTTTAGAATTGTTTTCCAGTCGCATTTATCTGGAGCTTCCGTATGGGTATGTTGCTGAAGATAAATGCGTAAGTCTTTAAAATCAGTTTCTTTTGCATTCTCCCCTTTCTAGTCGTTCCTGTATTCCATTAATCAGACAATATGCCTGCGGTTGGATAGCATTGAGGCAAAGTTGCTGGCACTAGAGGCTACCTGTAAATCACTGGAAGAGAAGTTGGATCTTGTCATGAACAAACAGCATAGCCCCATCCAAGTCCCCATGGTGGCAGGTTCTCCTCTTGGTGCTACACAGACGTGCAATAAAGTACGATGGTAAGAAAAGAACAGATTACTCATCAGTGTCCTTTTTAAAATAATGTAAATCCATTTCTTTGGCATCAAGCTCTGCAGCTTTCTGTATAGCTGTCAAGAGCTCGGTATGCTGTTTATGAATGTAGAATTAATTTATCTCGAAGGTAATTTTTGTACCAGTTTCATGATGTTGCTTAGAATGAGACACTGGTCCATGGATAGTTTGCAACTATTTCCACATTTCATTTTGACTTAAACCAGACTGATTCATCCATCCTCTGGAAAAGTCTCATCAGCTATTTTAGACAGGTTTTTTAGACTCCCTTTACTTTTATTTATGTGGCTGGTTTGAGTCAATGAGTTCATTATCATTCTAATTGCTTCTCATTTTACTTTTGTTCACCAGAAATACAATGGAGTTTGGTTTATGTGCTTGTTTTCTAAAGACTCTTGCTAGAATAATATCTGTGCTTATTTTGGGGTTAGAAGTTGGAGATGGAAAATCTGTTAAATAATCTAATCCACTTTGATGAAAGAGCAGGTTTGACCTGCAGTACCTTGATGTATGAGTTGCCCAGTATGGTTTTAAATATCTAAATCTTGATGGGCTTGTCATTTTACCATGGAGACGATTCCAGACAGAGAAATATGGTTACCAACAGACTCTCTGGTCTAACAATTTTTCCCCTCTTCCTTCATATTTTTATAGCTAGAAAAAAGTTAATACTTCTCTAAATAATGACCTTTTAGTCTACATTACAAAGGTGTATAGGCAACTTTCACATGTCGTACCATTCTAGTCAAGATACACTGACTGAATTCATCTTTTGTCAGTCTGTTTTTCCATCTTCTCATGTTTTTCTTCACTCTCTGAACTTTCTAAATCTCTGAAAATGATTTTGAATATATTTTTGGTATGTTATACTCAGTGCAGTGTTTCAGATGCACTGCTCTAGAGCTCTGTAGAAAAAATTAGTGCCTTGCTTTATGTTGTGGGACTCATCCATGTGAGGTAAGGGGGGGAAAAAACCACACCACAAACATTACTCTTTTTCTACTAGTCCACTGCTTGCTCACTGCTGGGTTGTTTTGTTTTTTTTAAAAAACTTTCAGTATTGTTATTTTTATAATAGGCATTTTAAGTTCAAAAAATTTACCTCAAGGTCATAATCACGTTTTGTTATATCTTTCGGTTCGTGCATTTATAGAATCACAGAATCATAGAGCCGTTTAGGTTGGAAAAGACCTTTAAGATCATCAAGTCCAACCATTAACCATTATAAAACCATTATGAAACAGGGTGGAGTATAACCTTACTACCGTAAGGGTTCAGAATTGGAGATTTTTACGTAAGAGGGATACACTCTGCTCACGTAGCTGTCCTGTTGCATAATGCAGGCTGTTACCTCACAGTTGTTCATTGAGCGTGATTACTTCTGATGAATGGAGTCTCATCTTTTAAAAAGATAACCTGATTTGTATTTAAAAATCTAAAATGATACAGAACCCAATGTGTTTCTTCATCTCTGTTTTAAAAGTTCAGATGTCCTTTTTATTTTCAGTGTAAATCTGGGTACTCTCTGCTCCTTTTGCTGTAACAGTCACCTGTCTGGTTAGGAACAGCTGATGTCCTCAGACTTTTCCAAAACAACGTTCCTTTTTAGATGTCCAAATACAATGTTTGGGCCCCAGTTCAGAATTCCTTTATTGGTCTTTGTTCTTGTGCTAGTGATGAACATCCTGACCATTGGACATCCTCCTTTTCCTTTTTTCTGTTTAATTTTTCTTTAAAATAGGTGCTGTGTCTACATTTACCTATGCTTTTGAAGGCTTCCCAGTCACACATTGAAAAGGTCAATTATGGCTAAATTCTATATCAAAAGAAATAAAGTACGTGGAATAATTGTTTGGGTCATAGAGCAAGTAACTACACTATTACACCAGTGTTTTTGCTAAATACCCTTTATCAATAGTTATTTCTTAAGGAACCTTCTTTAAATCTGTTAATTTTTTTTGGTCATTATATTAGAGATCTTCAAGTTCTTGTGCATAAGCTGAACTTCTTACTGCGGTTTGTGCACAAAAGACTTCAAAAACATTTTCAGAAATACACGGCCCCTTTGGGAATCTATAAATTCATGTTCAGTGAATGCTTTCCTCTGTAAATTGTACTATTTTGAGTTTCTTATGGGATTTGTCAGACCTGAGGTTGTTTTTTCTTTTTTTTTTTTTTTATTAATCTCTGTAACCATCAGAAATCTGTCCTGTGTGTTAATGGTGAGCTTGGTGTTTAATCTTTTGTTTTGGCTGTACATATTTATGATGACGGCTTCTCAGACAGTCTGAACATAATTTAGATAAAAGTCTTGAAGACTGTAAGATTCTCTGCCCCAAATATTTGTTAGTGTTGGTATGAAGTTGCACATTATCAAATGCATCTTGCCAATAAAGTACTGAGGGCTTTTTGTTCTTTTAGCAGTCTGTGGCCTATATGACTCAAAAGAAAATAGTTAGGGGTGTATGTGTTTAACTTGGCGTTAGTAACACTTCAATTTCACAGTGATAGAATGTTTCACTGAATTCCCTGTGTCTCATTCATAAAAACCTTTACCACTTGTTGATTATTTCCAGTTAAAGCCTGCATGGACTGTTCTGTTGTCTCAACTCTCTGTATCGTTCCCTCTTCCCCTTACATTGCAGATGGCAGTGGGGAGCTGCCAACAAGAGTTAGTATTTTGCATAGTGATTTTCAGGTTCTGCATCTGAATGAGATTTTTTTTCAACATCCTTCTCCTCCTTTTGCCACTACGATAAGGCCGGCTTTGCCACTCTAACAAAAACGCTGCAGTTAGCAACTGTAGCATGTCAACCAGATGGTGCTTCACTGCCAGCAAAGCAGGCTCTCATTCTTTTTTTGATAAATATCTTGGATTTGTGATCTTTTCCCTTCCACTCTGTACTGAATTTTGTTTACAGCTTTTCTGATAATTTAGTTACTTGCCTTAATTTGGTGCAGATTTAACATAATCAAAACTAGTTTTGCAGCAGTGCACACAGTGAAGTGTATGAACTGTGCGTTACAAATTCACACAGTTTGATTGTGCTATCTGTGCTTTTAACATTAAATTAATTTCCTCAGACTTGTCAGTCTGAAATGTGCTTAGGTCATCATGTGGTGAAAACAAGGACAACTTGGACAGAGGAGCTTTCTTCTGTGTCATCTGGTGGTGGAGTTGTAGTACAGTGTACCCGGTGAATTCACAGCTACTCCCCGTGGCCTGCTTTGACTACGATGTGGAATTTTATGCCGTGTGCAGCACTGTACGCTGGCTGCTTATAAGATGGTGTGATAAAGTCTGATCTGTCCATATAGCTGCATTAGGGAGGCAGGAGTCTCACTTTGTAACGGTTGTCAGATTTACATTCAATGATAAGTTGTCTTTTCTAGTAAACCTAACATGTTGATTTATTGAGATAACTCATACCTTTTTTTGTGCCAAACTGTTGTTTCCAAGTTTTAAAAGTTCTTATTAGGGAAATGAAGCAGAAGTTTTCAAGGAGACTTACAATAAATCAGGAACCACCCCATGTTACTAGCTCCCAGGACAGAAACGCAGTGCATTTTAGTCTCATTCTGCTTTCTGTCTCATTATTAAACACATGAGGAATGATGTGTGTGGAAATCTTCCAACATCCTTTTCTGGATATGTGATTTTTGAAGGCTTGCTGATGTTTCTTGGAAAACTACGAAATGTTGAATTCAGAAATTACAGTACTCTCTACTGCTCTTGATATTTTCCGTAAGTACATCTTCATAAAAGCTGGATTGTGTTCTCGATACTCTTGTTCATATTGTTTACTCCGAGCTGCTGTTACAGTACGTCATTATATACTACTTAATTGCAGTGCAGATAAGGAAGAAAATAAAGGGCACGTGGTGCTCTGTAGTGAACAATTTGTATGAACAGTTGGGATACAGAGGAACAAGAGGCTAACTTTTACATCTCCAAGTAAGAAGTTTAAGCTACAGCAAAATCTAACAGGAGAATACTTCTTTTGAAAGGAAGTCATTCCAAATTTGTGAGATGTGAACTGTTTTGGAGGAAACGGCAATAGGCCATAAAGAATACGGAAAGACTTGGAGCTGTTGTATTTCAATAAATCATTGCATGAAAGGCAGAACTAACAAGCGCAATTTCGTATAGGTTTTTGTCCCCTGTCCTCCCCCTTTTCACTGGACGAGCCTCGTGTTTCCTGTATGGTCCATGATGCTCCCTGCTGTGGGATTTTGAAACCTTCCATGCTATTCCCATGATAGCAGCATATGTGAGTGCTGGAGCTAGCTGCTGTGGGGCAATGGATGGGACCTTTCTGACGTTCTGTTAGTGGGGTGTAGCTTTTGGGCTTGTCCTTACCCCAGCCTCAGATTTTAACGGGTGTTTAATATCTCTCGGATCTCTCTGTTTTTGTCAGATTTGGTCATAAGAGTGCAAAGTATTAGCTGAGACTGGAGAAACAGCATGATGTTAAATCTCATTTTCTTTGAGGGGAACAAAAAAATAAAGAGTTTTAGAAAGTATTTGCTCAATGTTTAGTGGCTGCTGCTTAAAAATACGTAGCTGTCAGGGTTACCTACAAAGACATAGCGTTAAAGGAGTTTTTAAAATTTCTTTCCTGGAAGAAAGGCTGTCGGAAGGCTTCAGAACTAGTAGAATGGATGGCAAAAATCCTTAGATTGCACAGAGTTACATTGAACTATATGGAGCTTGAAAAGAGCCAAGAACAGTAGCAAAATAATGTAATAAATTAGTAATGGGAGTACGAGATTGTCCCGGTGTTCTGAGCTTTGTCCGGCTTTGTGCAGCATTAGTACAGCCCTGCTTTTCCATCCAGGAAGTGATTGTGTCTCTTCCTCTGTCTGCAACATTTCCTGGCAGTATGGCTATTAAAAACCTCTAATTTCTTTTCTTTATGAGGTACCACGCTGGTCAAAAATTCCAGTAGCTGCTGAAAGCTTCTTG